GATCGGCACATTACTAATTACGACATAGGCGAGAAATCGAGGACCGCTCACAAAGCAGTTTTGGCCCATTTAAAAAAGTATAGCTACACAAAAAACCTCGATATTTGGGTACCACACGAGCTCACCAAAAGAAACCTAATGAATCGTGTACTCATTTGCGATTCTGTATTGAAACGTAATGAAACCGAACCATTTTTGTAAAGATCACTGGTGATGAAAAGTGGATCACCTACGACAAGAAAGTGCGAAAAAGATCATGGTCAAAGGGTTGTCAAGCTCCACAGACTGTAGCGAAACCCGGATTAACACGAAATAAGGTGATGCTGTGTGTATAGCAAAACCATCGATTCGGATCTCTAATGCCATCAACTAATGCGACTCAAGCAAGAAATTGAAACAAGAAAACGGCCGGAATGGATCAACAGAAAAGGAGTGGTTTTTCATCATGATAACGCCCGACCACAGACATCTTTGGCCACTCAACAAAAATTTAGATAGCTTGGTTGGGAAGTGGCTGGTGTTAATGCATCCACCATATAGCTCTGACCTTGCACCCTCAGATTTTCACCTATTTCGGTCAAAACTACTTGTCGCATTTTTTGATCAAAAATCCCAAGATTTCTTCAGCAACGGGATTATGTGGCACATATTTTTTTTATAGGAGAGGGGACAAACGAGCATGCGACTCACCTGATGGTAAGTGACTACCGGCGCCCATGAACAACTGCATCACCAGGGGAATTAAGGGAATTGCAGATGCGTTGCCGGCCTTTTAAAAAGGAGTAGGCTCTTTTCTTGAAGGTCCCTAAGTCGTATCGGTCCAGAAAAATCGCTGATGGTAATCGATTCCACAAGGAAGTTGTACGAGGAACATCTCTTCGCAGTGCCAATGAATCAAGGCGATCGGAAAGGACTCGGTCGTCGGAGATTCGAGCCGCTCAGCGCTGGATGGGGTCAAGTGGAAGGAGCTGGCACTGGGGAGCCCCTGCCCAGAGATGGGAACAGTATTCCATGTGAGGCCGAACCTGCGCCTTGTAAAGTTGCAGGCGGTGTGCCGGCATGAAATACTCTCCCGCTCTGCTGAGCACGCCAAGCTTTTTAGAGGCCAATTTGGCCTTCTCTTCCAAGTGACCACGAAACTGTGCGTCACTCGATATGTCGACTCCGAGGATTCCGATACTGGCTGAGGCAAGAAAGGGAGTGCCTTGAAATTGAGGAGATACGACAAAGGGGTTCTTTTTAGCGGTAAACGCGCAATATTATAAATAAACGTAATTAAACTTTGAAAAAAAATGTCTTTAATTTGTATATAAAATACTTAGAAACTTTTTCCCCGAACTATTATATCATAACATAAACAGTACATTAAACATTTTGTTGAGCGTAACGAAAAAATTGCTGTCCAGCTGATGGGTAAGTAAGACAATAATTAGGGGTGCGTTTACTCACGTTTGCCGTGTAAGGGCGACGTATGAGAATCCTCTACCCTATATCACATTATTTGTGGTAGATATCGATATATATGTACTACGCACTAGATTTCGCATTTCGTACATTGACTATGTTCAACTGAACTGTACTGCAATCCGTACAAAGTAAATATTGCGTAAATTGAAGATTTGTGAATTCCATAAGATAATTATTACTACATTTTATTTTATTTAGAAATATGTTTGTTTAGATAAAAATAAAATATTTTATGTTAAATTTTTATATTTATTTTATATTAATATCTTATTTTATATTAAATTAAAGTCTTCGCGCATGTGCGACTCTACTACTCCGGCGCATGCGCGGAGACATAGAGTAGGACACAATTTTTGTTTGGAATGGCTTCTCTAGTACGTAGTACATATAACTCAATGGTGGTAGAGCCGTGCTGCAGCTATATCAGTAGTGTAATTGAAGCACGAATGGGTCGGCTGGACCGGGGTAGGACCACGCTCTTACAGTATACCAGCGTAAAATAGCAGCTTAACGCTGCAGTGTTTCGTATGGTGAGTGTAGAGAACCGGAGACCCCTTTTACTTGAAACGAGGTATTCTATCTTAGTCCTCACAGGTGACAACGCTTCTGCATTTTGCTTCGTAGTTGAGGATGGATGTAGATGTCTATGTGCCACATCAAGTACTTACTATCAGGTGGACTGTGTGCTCGTTTTTCACCCTTATCCTATAAAATAATAATTCCGAGGGTGTCGTAAGAGGCAACGGAGGAAAGAAGGCATCAGCATATTTCAGATAGCGACTAACAATAATATAAAGCTGCGGATGGCAACTCGTATGATAACAGAAAATCAATGGGGGAGACATGTTAAGCAGTGGACTTTGATAAGTTGTAGTTAGTGAATAATTGACTCAGGTTTGAGCTCAAAGTTGGATTGCTTTGAATTAAAAGTCAATAATCAGTTACGCTAACTGCTGGATAACGAACGATAATAATTTATTAATCTGAATGACTGGGTGAGAAATTGTGTGATAAAGGAAAGGTGTGGTTTGCAAGATAATGTTGTCACCAGGGTCAAGAAAGAAATGCTTCGGTGGTATGGTCATGTAGAAAGAATAAACGCGGAAAGAGTGACAAAGTATGTATATGTTGCAGAAGTGAACATCAGAGTCGGGAAGGGACGCCCTAGGCGAAAGTTTATCGACCGAATTTGCGATATGTTGAAGATGAGCCAGGTTATGAGTATCCTTAACTAACTAGCATGTATGCATAGGTATATGGATGTAAAAGAGGCGAGTGAGGTGTGTCAGGATCGTGCCAAATGGAAGTCCGTAGTGTTTGCCTATCCCTTTGGGTGACAGGCGTGATTATGTACCTATGATGTACTTTAAAACAATACGTTTTATAGCATGCTAGATATAGGGTATATCCAAGAAATTTAATCGTTATAGACCTTTTATATTTTTATGAAGGTCGCGAGTAATTAAAAGTTAAATGACGAGTTTTTTTACTTATTATTAGCCAGTGTTTAATTACAATTCTATCTGGTGATAATTGGTTATGAAGATTACTTGACGAAGGCTACTCAGTTACAATTAGTATGTATTTAAGTTTATAATTCCTTTGTATATTTTAAAGAACGTACATCCTTTAAGGTTTATTATTTTTAATATATAAATATACAAAATATTCGAGCGCTCGCGCTTTTTTATCACACAAAACGTTAACTCCACACTAGGATTTTCTCTGGTGTCGAAGGGTCAGTTAACATACACAAATTTTACAAACAAATATCCAGACTCGGAATTATAGTATAGTGCTAAGACACTGCGTCACTGTGCCGTCATATCTGAGCCGTATTTTGCTAAGGTGAGCTTTTGCTCTTGGTATTTATTTAATTTAGATATAAAACCTAATCGCTCAGCGAGCTATGGAGAGGGCTATGCTCGGAGTTTCTCTGCGTGATAAACTCAGAAATGAGGATATCCGCAGTAGAACCAGAGTGACCGACATAGCCCAACGGATTAGTAAGCTGAAGTGGCAATGGGCCGGCCATATAGCTCGAAGAACCGACAACCGATGGGGAAGAAAGGTTGTCGAGTGGCAGCCTCGTACCGGCAGGCGAAGTGTTGGGCGTCCCCCCACTAGATGGAGAGACGACCTGGTAAGATATGCAGGAAGTCGATGGATGCAGGTGGCTCAGGACCGTGCTTTGTGGCATTCCTTGGGGGAGAACTATGTTCAGCAGTGGACTTGTGAAGGGCTGTAATGATGATGATGATAAAACCTATATATTGAAATAGACGTGACGACGTTTTGTCAATATCGATTGCTAATTATATTTTTTTAAACTTTATCTTACATAAAAAATGTATAACTGTTTTGCAAATACACATTAATAAAATAGAGAAACAAAGAATTTTAATTATACTACGCGGGAATGTGATAACACCTTATTGTAGGTGAATATTATAATAAACAAAAATTAGTATTACATACATACATAAACACTCACGCCTGTCACCCAGAGGGGTAGGCAGAGACTACGGACTTCCATTTGGCGCGATCCTGACACACCTCTCTCGCCTCTTTTACATCCATATATCTACGCATACACGCTCGTCGGTTAAGGGTACTCCTAATCTGGCCCATTTTTAATGTATCGCCGATTTGGTCGATAAACCTTCGTCTAGGGCGTCCCTTCCCGACCCTGCCGTTCACTTCTGCAACATAAATTTGCTTTGTCACTCTTTCCTCGTTCATTCTTTCTACATGACCAAACCAACGAAGCATTCCTTTCTTAATCCTTGTCACAACGTCATCTTGCAAACCACACTTTTGTCTTATCACACTATTTCTCACCCTGTCATTCAGATTCAGCCCTAGCATACTCCTTAAGGACCGCATTTCTACAGCATTTATTCTACTCTCATGCTTCTTCTGCCAGACCCAACTTTCACTACCATACATTAAAGTAGGGACTAACACAGCATTATGAATTGCCATACCTGCCTTAGTTGACACATTTTGACTCCTCATAATAGCGTGTAGAGCCCCATTCACTCTATTACCTGCGTTCACTCGTCGTTCTATATCCTTGTCATATCTACCATCCCTGCTAAATAAACATCCCAAATATACAAACTCATCCACTTGCTCAATCAACTCCCCTTCTATTCTTATTTCACATAAAGTTTTACTTTCTTCTCTTTCAAAAACCATCACTTTCGTCTTACTTGCGTTCACTTTCATACCCCTTTCTTTCAATGACCAATTCATTAAAGTAACCATCATTTGCAACTCGGCCGCCGACGATGCAAATATGACTTGATCATCGGCGTACAAAAGGCCACCCATTCTCAACCCACATTCTTCAACTTTCAAAGTTTGAAACTTTGAAATTAGTATTATTTAGTATTATATAATAAACTGTAAATTTTGTGCCTACTCAGTTAATATTTTATTATTTTTAATATGTTAATAAATAAAACTTATATGAATTTATAAACTTCAAACAAAAAATATAAAAATATTTGAAATCTACAAATACTTACAAGGCACCAAATGGTCAAGAACAGAGAACGAGATTTCAATGGAAAGTCTTTAAGAAGTTCATTGTGCACAGGTAATTCCACGTAATTCTGGTCGTACCACATCACATACGAATCAATTGCCGCAGCGGACAAGTGGAAAATTGGTAACAACATCTTGACCTTCGCTGTGATTAATAAAAACATAACACTAGCAGTAACAGTAACCAGACGTCAAGTCTGTTTAACGTCTGTACTTTGACTGTGTGGCAGTGTTTTTAAATGAAATAATTACTACTAAACGTTATTTGTTGTGTTGACGTTAGTGAATTTTTAATCTACGGCTTCAATTAAACACAAAGCAGGTTTTAAAGAAATTGATGTTTAAGGAATCATTATAACTTGATATAGTCCAATGATGAATAAGTTTTTTGACGGATAAGGCAAGCCCAGTTAGTTAGCAATCTTATTAACTAAGTTTACACAAACACTCTTTCCTCGTCTTTCTTTTGAATTCTCTCTGAATGTCTACTAGTAATGATGATTTATTTTTGTATCTAGAAATCTTTACTTATCCTTGTAGAAGTCTAGTTTGCATTTTTGTAAATATAGTTTTCATTAGGTATTAATAAAATAGATATTCATAAGCTATTTCTAGATTGTGTAATACATTTCTAGTTTTGTCATTTCTTTTTTTTCATGACATAACATTAATTTCATAAACTGCAACAATTTCATCTTGTTTTTTATGAACATGAAAATTGAAAAAATTGCCTGAAAATAACTATTAATGAAATTAAAATTGAAATTAAATTTATTAATTCCTTTTTGTGTCTTAACACGTTTTCATGTAAAAGGAAAAGCAAAATAGTAACTAAGTAATGAATTTCTCTTTGTCTGAGCAAAAAATGTTAATTTTATTACTACACACTGATATGGTATCATGTCATTAAAATTATTTGTTGGAATAAAGTGTTAGATGCAATATATTATTGTCGTTTAATAATATTTGTAATAGACAAATGTTGTGTTATATTTAAAAGAAAATTAAATTGAATATAAATACATAAATTTATTTTTATGAACATTAGTTTTTTTAATTTAATTTTATTTTCGTTCATGCGTTTTGTATTCCACTCCAACTTGCAAGGTATTGTGTATTTATTCAAAGTACAAAATTTAATTTTAACTTTATTTTTGTTTAATCTCTATATACAAAAATTACGTGTCACATTGTTTGTCCGCGATGAACTTCTAAACTACTAAACTGATAGCAATGAAAATTTGCACACGGTGTGTAGTTTGGTCCAACTTGAGAGATAGGATAGTTTTTATCCCTATAAGTGACCCTCAATATTTTTATTACGAATTTAAGTATTTTTATAGGACACTGGGTCGTCGGAGAGGGCAGAGCAACGTCTGCTTGGCCAGCTAATATTATATAAATTTTACATATATCATAACCTAGCAACTTGATAGTAAAATTGTTACAAGTTATGGTCCACGGTCAGTTAAACTGACATCAGTTTAACTGATCACTTCAACGGATTTAATCCAAAACACGATCGACACACACGGTTAGTTCAACTGATCATTCCAACTGATCAGTTCAAAGTAGGACTGTTGATATTTTTAAAATATCGGATTTTCAAATACCTATCAATATCGGAGTTTTATACATCGAAAACATAAGCGATATATCGATGCTTATTGCTTAAAAATGATTTACACAGTTTATAATTTAGTATATTTATTGAACAAATTAAATTATAAATGTATGAAAATGTTCGGTTATAGTTCTTAGTAATTATTAATGAGCCGTGGTAGCTCAGATGGTTAGCGCTCGCTGTAAATTTCACAGTACACGAGCAACCCGGGTTCGATACCCCACCGGCACCAATGAAATTGTTAATGGCAATTTTAAGTGCTGATTTACCACGTGCTCGGCGATGAAGGAAAACATCGTGAGGAAACCTGCATGTCTGAGAAGTAAAATAAAAAATTCAAAAAACGTGAATTTCGTCAACACGCATTGGGGCAGCGCGACGGACTTTGCCCTAAAACCCTCTCAGAAATTAGGAGAGGCCTGCCCAGTTGAGGAGCGCCCAGCATTGGGACGTATATAAACTGTAACTTTAACTTTAATTATTGTGATAATTGATAGAATCAGGCGCTACTTTGCGGAAATCCATTATAATGGGGTTGTTATAAACTAATTTGCTTAATTCCGCGTAAAGAAAGAAAATGACGTGTCCTGCCCAGTTTTAAGGGGACCTCCCACCCTCCCTCCATCGCGCGCACTATATCCGTCGCCGTTAATCCCAGCACTACCACTAAAATACGACACGTGTTTCGCCTCTACACGAGGCATCCTCAGGTGAAGTAGACTCTGCGGAGACTGGCCGCTAACTTAGCGGTGGTGTGTCGTGCCTAGTGTGCTGGTGCTGGGGGTGGTGGTGCTGGGATCAATGGCGACGGGTATAGTGCGCGCGATTGAGGGAGGGTGGGAGGTCCCCTTAAAACTGGGCAGGACACATCATTTTCTTTCTTTACGCGGAATTAAGCAAATTAGCTTATAACAACCCCATTTAATTATTGTTTAATTTAAATAAGACAATTATGTTTACCAATATTTTTCAGTAAGAGTTACTTACTCGTTGTTTTATATGTTCAGCTGTTTCAATACTGCGATTATTGGGCACTAAAAGATTGATTGTAGAAGTTATTCGTTCAGATGCTACGGATGAAGCTGAAGAAATCAAATATTTAACAGCTATTTCTGATAGCACGGAAGTAAATCATAAGACGCCCAAGCGATTAAAATAACTTGAGGCTTATACCAACATCGAAGCACTTATTTCGTCGTTTTCTCTAATAGCTCACATGCGCAGACACTTATTACACACTAGCTGCGCCCCGCGGTTTCACCCGCGTCATCACGTGTTGGAGGTACACGACATGACCTAGTTCAAGCATTTTATAATTGCAATTAAATATTTTATTTGATAGCAATGGATGGAAAAATTGGCATAATTAATGGAGTACTTTTATCTGTTGGCATATTATGTATGATGTAGAGCGAAGTTAAGTTTTATCCACTTTCCCTCCCCCTCCCGGTTGAGCAGTTCTCGCAGTTCTCACCGGGCGGCTAATGTTATGTGTCGTTCGCGCGCCCAGCCAAGTATTGAATTATTTTAATTTTACATTATCTCTTAAAATATGCGTCCAAATAACATGGTATAAGGAACAAAGTTTATCTTCATAAAATTGTCTTGATGATGAAGTAACTTTCGCTCGTAGGATAAATAGGCCATGCCTAATAATAACGCTCATAAATCACTTTATTAATTTTCAATATTTTTTTGTCATAAAATACCTAATTATGGCTTATGTATAAGAAATAGACATATGGTATCACGGACTTTTTTTAGACGGAGTAAAGACCTATATTTTTCTAGAACATTGTATTTACGTATCCCTGACGATAACACTAGCGTACGCGGTTAAATCATTTCGGGAGTGCTTTTTCATCTGACTTGCTTAACAAATATCCATATTTTAGGCTATCTGAGTGATATAGCTTAATATTACATAGCCTATACTATTCCACATGAATCTGGCTATAATATACAAAAAAAAAAATTCAAATCGGTCTAGTAGTTCCAGAGATTAGCGCGTTTAAACAAGCAAAAAAACAAAAAACTCTTCCGTTTTATTATATTAGTATAGATAATCGCATCACTTTGATAAAAATCCACTTCAAACGATTATTTAAACGATAAAATAGGAGCAACCATCCGTCGATGGTTAAGCTCCTGCCAAAACTCACAGTAAGTAAAGTAGTACCAAGTTTCATAGATTATAGTGATTTTAATATCACAGAGATATACTTTACGAAATTACATTTCTTTTTAAGATAATAAGCAAATAAATAAACTGGAAAAAAAAACATAATATAGTGTAAATAAAGTACAGTAATACCCCGGACTTACGCGATAGTTGGGACCAAGCGATAGCCGTGTAAGTCGAAATCGCGTAAGTCGGGGTTCAATTTTGCATATAAATACGTATAAAGTTTGTAAAATCGCTACCAGAGTCTAAATAAAACAATAATTTAGAAGAATCATGTTTAATAAAATATTAGATAATAAAAACAATTTGCATTACTATGAATAAAACAATATAAACCGAAGTTATTTTGATGTCGAAGGCTTCATATATTCTAACAATGTCGCCTGACGAGTTAAGTTTTTCTTCTTCTCACGTAAAATTTGCTCATAGCACGCCAGTAACTTTTTACTTGTTAGGTTCAAGTGACTCATTTTTTGATCTTTTGGATGACTATGCACTACACACGTACAATAATTCCACGAGGAACACGTCCGAGCTTGTTGTAAACCTAATGTGTATTGTGTACGTAAAGTAATTCCACGCGTAACACGGTCGAACTTTTCGTAAACCGAACACTAACAGAGCGAAGTAGGCAAATGAAAAACCGTGTATCTCCGAATTCGCGTAAAACGGGGTAGCGTAAGTCGAGGTATGACTGTATAGTAGATTGGGTCCATCAAGGATTAGGATTTAAGTTTACGATGGTGTTGTAGATTAAATGATTTACGTGAAAAAATAAAAAATAAATTATTTAAAAAAATATATCGACTGTCGTATATCTATATTTCAATATCAAAACTTATATTATATATAGATAAATTAAATGATATTTAATAATATCTAAATCTTATTCAATGTAATTTCCTGTCTATTAATATATATCTATACAAATAAATTTATTTGAAGTGAAGTGTCTATTTGTAACGTCAAAATAACAGTTTTTTACTAAATTCATATGAAAGTACATACGATACTTATAACAAAAACACAATTTTTAAAATCTTTGTCTATCTTTCTGTCTGTCTGTCTGTCTGTCTGTGAAACTTGTCGCAAATTTTATGCTCTACAAGATTATTATTAGATGTTAGATTAGATTTTTATTAGATGTCACCATCATTGGAGAAATAGAAACCGCGATAATCGCGCAAAACGGTTTTTTTCCCTTTGACCTTGAATAACTTACGAAGCAGACACAACATTTTAAAAGACTTTTCAGACAATATTTAAAATGCCAAAATGAAGGTATATACCTACATATATATTTATCTATGGTATATACTAAAATTTAGCTTATTATCTCTCATTCCGAGGTTGACCCCTTTTTTATGCTAAATATATATATACTACAAATTTCCCCAAATAGGTGATTTAAG